CCTTTACAACGCATGCGGCGGCCCGGTAGACTCATGGCATACTTGCTCCATGCAACCAATGTGTGTTCAACGTGAGTGACTCTGTCGAATCGTACTGCTTCGTTTCGCAGCACTGTGCGGTTCATGCATGTGTATGATGCACGCAGTACGATGGCATAGGCCCAGGCTTCTCAGCCGCTGCGCTTCCCAGGTCTCCGACGCCTCCTGTGTCAGCCTGCGGGTCAGCGTTGCCAGCAACTGACCAGAGCAGTGCCGTCAAAGCTGTGACACTTGCTGGGTTGCACCAGCAGCAAGTGCCCCGTTGAGCTGCCATGAGCTGTATGTGCTGGCTCCTTTTTTCGTGCTCCAACCAATGGTGACCAGCCAGGCTAAGATTTGTCTCCTCCGGGGGAGATGGCTGCCAGGTGAAGCACATGCAAATGGCATAGCGAAGTCGTGCGCTGCAGCCGGCCTTGCCAGTCAGGGGCTGTCCACCGTTTCGTCTCCTCCCACATGTCAAATGCGACTCGAAGCCGCACACCTGTACATGCCGCTGTACCCTTCATCTTTGGCGACATGTTCTCGCACACACATGACATGATCTGATGTCACGTTGCTCTTGTTTTAAGCTTCCGCGTCTGCGCCAGGTGGCCTGTCCAACAGCCGGCCAGCTGGAAAAAGACGGCCGTGCACGAGATGCACGGATGAGCACTAACGTACCTGTCATGAAACGAAAGTGGAGCGTGGTAATGCCAGCTAGTGGCATCGTGGCGCACATGCGGATGCCACCCGTTGGGGGTGCCAGTCCTCGAAAGTAGTCGCTGGCTTACATACAAGCTCCAAGCGTCGCTGCGTTTCCAGGGTCCTTCCAAACTCTCGGAGTCACCCAAGAGCAGAAGCAGAGCCTTTCTTGGTTCGAGAGCGCAACTGAGTTGCCAACCCCCATTGACTTGCCTGTCTCTCTGCGTGTTGCGAGCGGTCGTGCTCGGCAAGGATGGAAGGTAAGATCACATCCGAGTTCATGTTCGTGCTCCTGGCTGCTGCTGCATGCCACACTTGAATGTTTGTCTGACAGCAGTCGGGCTGACATAGTGAAATGATGCACAAGATGACATGTTACTGTGGCTGGAAGTGACCCGCGCCTGTGGCCAACGACTCGCCCAGCACTTGACGATTGTCGTTTCAGGCCAAGCTTGCTGGCCACCTTTCCGCTGGCAAGGCCCGGCAAAAGCAGGAGGCAATCAGTAGCATGGCGTAGCTCGTCCACTTGCGATATGACACGGGAAATCTGCGCCCGCCACCCAGGCAGGAATCGCTTTTGCCTCGAGGCCAGATGACGTGCCGAGGAAGGTACCTCACCCAGACCCAATGCGAGATCTTTACACGATGGTGATGGGCAGCGCCTTCCAGATAGTGCAGCCGTCTGGCCACAAGCCGTCCTGCTGAGGCGAAAGAATGCCAGTCAACACGATGAACACAGGCCTGTTGGTAGTGTTCAAAGCTCCTTGCAGCTGCGAGCAGCCCAAGAGCGCCGCCTTGCTGAACACGGCCGCTGCACCCGCGCCCAAGGATGTTTGCTGCTGCAACACCTCAGCTCAGATTGCTTCTGGGAACGCTTCCTGACCAACGCTTTCAACTGAACGCGCAGATTTGAAAACCATGGTCTGCTTGCCGGCTTGCCGGCAAACTGGGGCAACCCGGTGAAAATGGCTAGCACAGAAGCATTCTAGCATCAAGCACCGTGGCATCTTGCACGACTATGAATTAGTGGTTTCCATATGGTGCTCTTTAGAATGGCTTCCCCATGCCTGGTCCGAGCTCCACGCAGGGTCTGCCAGTGGCCCTGGGCTGATGGTACGCTTCCCTTGCAGCCGCTGAAAGCGGGCCCAGCAGCCCCGAAGCACCTCGCACGACTTTTCAGAAATCTATTGGAGGAGGCGCTATGAAGTGCGGTCATGCACCGGTTGACAGACAAGGCTCCTTTCGCTCCAGGATAGCAGCAGAATTGGCATCAAAGCCTCATCAAACGGAACTTGCGTCAGAGCTGTAGAAGCCACCCCACCGTTCAGGTCTTGACGGCCATGCTGCTCCAGCTGGTAAGTTGAGGTGGTAATGACCTGCCAGTTGACAAATTATGTGCAAATGCTGTTGCCAGCCAAACCGCCTGAATCAGTACTTGCATCCGCGTGTGCACAGGATGTCCAATCCACATTTCACGGGGCTTGGACATTTGCGGCTTGTTGTGCAAGAGATGTGGTGAGCTCATCAAGCAAGCGAGAAGGCCTTAATCTGCTGCCATAAAATCCGCACCTCCCTTCCTCATGCCAATGAGTCTATCAAGGCAACTGTTATGCAGACTCAGGTGACTTTGTCATCTTTATTCCTGAAGCTCTGGGTCAGCAACGGCGCCGCCCCCTCATTGAACAACTCCAGGGCTGCCTCATCAGCTTGTGAGGATGTTCGAAACATTTCCAAGTTTTCCAGACTACCTCGAAACGCCAGGTCCGAGTAAATCGCTTGTGAGACTCTCTAGACTCTAGATCTGTCTCTCACAGGCTGCCGGGGTTGAAGTACTGTGCATCAGCGCATAACAGCCCCACGCACCTGATTGGCAATGCTACCTCAGAGCATGATGAGCATGCAAGAAAGGAGTCATAGAGTCAGAACCAGGGCAGGGGTCAACCATGGTCAAACTGAGCCTGCGGCTGGTCTCCAAGTGTGCATCTTCTATATCCTAAACATTTAGCATGTTCAGGCCTTTGTAACTTTATGGCTGTGACAAGCCGGCCTTCAAGAGTTGCAAGGCCGCGCCCCAGGTGGCAGTGCCCTTCAAGGAGTTCAACACTGACCTCGCGTGACACGGCATCTGGATTTCACTCGATTTTCCATGGCAGCTAGGATGAGCGCCCGAAAGAACGCACAGTTGGAGACATGCCGCGAGCTCGAGACACCTTCACAACTAGAAGCACATAAGCTCAACGCTCTTGTCAGGCGACATGCGAAGCATATGTGACACCGTATGCAGGATCCGTGTGGCATGAAAATGTTCAACCACATCAAACCCCTTGCACTCAGAGTCTTCAATGCGATGTCTCCACAGTGTGGGAAGTGTGAGCCCACCCCAAGTCCCACTAACTCTAACTGCCCGCGCTTGCCTGTTCATTTTCACGCCCAGTTCCGCAGAACCAGCGGATTTTTACGACCCCAAAATCGATATCAAAGCTAAAGGCGCTTGGAGATGGCAGAACTTCACACGCTACAAACTTCTCAAGTCGTGGGCTCCAACTAACTGAAAGAGAAAACAAATTCTGCTTGTGAGTCCCCGTGCGGCTACCTTTTTTCCTGATAGCTTGTAGGTTGCGGAGCTCTTTGGGGGGGCTGAGCCATAGCCTAAGCCATAGCAAAACGAAAGCCAAAGGATCATAGACCACGGTACTGGACATGCAGGACCTCAACTGGACGACAGCCCTCACACAACCTGTCCTTCCAAAGTTCTGTTAGGGAACGTGGCAACTAGCCGTTTGAAATTTGCATGGAATGCCAACAGAGCGCTGTGTTTCATTTGTCCATTCAGGTTGCCCCTTAGCGAGAGTATACTTGACAATTCAGCACACATGGCACCACCAAAGGCAATTCTCGCCTGGAGCGTGCGCAGCGCGCGAACCCATTCGAGACCTGAAGGGACATGAGTCAATTCTGTCTGCTTTTCGCAGGCAAGCTTCCGGTGAAGAACTTTCGAGTGTAGAGCCCCTCTCACTTCAGTGGATATGAATCCCAGAGACAGGACGCATGATTCCTGCAGCCACCCACTGAACATCTTATGCCTCGAGTTTGATGAACGCGGCTGTAGCAAAAGCACAAAGAATAGCTCTCAATAAACCCTCTGCGGCCGCCCCTGTGTTTGAATACCTGCCGGCTTTGGATCATCCTCAACGCATGTCGTAGATGCACATGGCTTTGAATTCTTGATGACACCTGCTACCTGACAAGAACAAATCGAAAAACTCTGCGATTGTAAAACTCAAGGGCCTTTGTCGAACGAGCTCGCAAGCGAGCTTTGTGCAGCAGCTCCTGCAGCAGGATCAAGGTCCAAGAGCGCACAAACACACTAACAACATCCAACTGTGTGAAGCACAGAAAATTGTTGTAACTTTATGCTACAAGCATGTAGCTGTATGCTACGTACACACGCCATCGCGTTTCCAAACCCTAGCAATTCCCCTGTCTCCCACACGTGTCGAGGCTTCGCACGCTGTCCGCAGCAGCTCCTGATGCCAAACCCACGCAGAGTGATCTTGGTCTCCTATCCGCTTTTTTCAAATTCTCAGTGTGTTCTCTCCTCGGCATGCTGCCAAGGCTGCGAGCTAGCCTCCAGCCTTAATGGAGAACGGACTACCGGTGAGTCGAACATCCACTGCTCAAACTGCATCAGAGCGCAGGTCAGAAAGTGCGCACTAGCCACCTCTACCTCATCTGAGTGTGACGCTCTGCTTCTTTCAGAATTCCCGTAGCGCCGCAGGAAGAAGCGGTGGAGACCAGAAGAACCTACCAAACAAGAACGTCCAGCCATCCCACTCTTGCAACATATCTAGGAGACTCCCAGCAGAACCCGCCTAGCTGTTGCTCTGTTGTCGCAAGCAAGGTACGCGCAGGAAGTCTTGCAATGAGGTCGTGCAGCGGGACTGCGAGGTGCAAGGAAACAAGCACTCCCACACAGGCCAAGATGCTGCTCTGGCAGTTTTGAGTGAGCCGGGTGGGACTGCCAGGCAACTCTGCACTTCATGATCTAATCGAGTGTTGTGTTTGCACGACCTTGCAGGACTATTCTCGGCAGGGCTGCACGTTCCACACCCATAAGATGTAGGGTGCGGTTGGCTGACTGCGCACCACACAGGAGAAGCATTGAGATTCAGCTAAATGACAAGGATCCAGTGCCATGGTGGCCACTGCCTTCAAAGGCTCCATCAGTTTGCGAGTATTTGGGTTCACACTGACTGGATCCCTGGAAGCTGTGTCTCCTCTTAAAGGGAGCACAGAGAAGATGTTGGACTTGGCGGGAGGAGTGCGCCGCCTGAGCTGTTGCCAGATCCTCGAAAGGATCTTCTTGAAAGCTTCTTCAGACCCTTTGAGGAGGGTGGCATGCGGAAGCATAAGAAGAATTCCAGCTCACCTGAGCGCAATTTTGGGCTTTGAGGCTTAGGGATTCATATCTCAAGCCAGGCAGCCCCCCCTGAACCGTATTGCCACAACTCTTATCATTTGAGCTTAAAGCAACCATGTTTCATGCACCTGCAGGCAATGATTGGGAAGGTGAACTACAAACTAGGGTGTCCCAAGAGCCTCAACTCTGACAAAGTGCCGCAGAAAAATCTTGTTTGGCCGGTCGCCCACCTGTGGCTGTCTTGGTTACCTCCACGGTCCCATTGATCTGCACTGTCCTCTTAGAGGTGAAGCGCATCTCGACACCACCGAATGACATCAATTTTGAATTCAGTTCACCCCTTTCATCCAGCGTCAAAACCTCGTCCCACAGCTGCTTGAATGAATGCGTCACGTCATTTGAGAAAATCTCTGTGAGTTGCTTCCCAGCTAGATACCCCAGCGGGGCGGAGGCAGCATAGATCTGCATGAAAGCAATATCCAGCTCCAGCAAGACGAGTCTTGAGGGCGGCTCAGGCCCATCCTGCGAACAGTTTTTGACTCCAAAGCTTCCAAGTAATCTTTTAAGGCTGCTCTTGCTTACAAACGTAAAGCTTTATCATATTGTATCATTGTATCATGCTGTATCCAAGAATCACAGTCCTCCTGGTCAGGTGCGCAGGTTGCAGAAACGCTTGGGGAAAAGCTGCGCAGGGCAGAGGCATCCTGCAAGTGCGCAGGAAAAGTACTTGTGCGGTCTTCCATGGCGTCAACGGCGCAATGGCCAGCAAGGCAGGCTTGGTCCGTGAAGTCTCGCAGCCCAATAAGGTGGTAGACCTTTCCATCTACTTTGCGGTAGCTCACCTGAAAGACCTCTGTGCGGAACTTGCTACTGCAGCTGTCAACCAGCCGTGTGTGGAAGGCCTTGGCGGAAACGCTGTTGGCAGTATCTGCCAAGCCATCTGACCCCATATCTTCAGGGAGGCTATTGAGAATTTCCACAGCCCGCTGTTTCTCTTGAGGGGATGACACGAAGTCAGTGAAGCTGACACCAGCGAGAGCAGACCCCGAGCTGCCCCGCAGGAACATGCTTGCCAGCTCATCTGCATTGGAGCAAACGGTGATCCTCAGGTCCGCGTCAAGCTCTACCACCGCATCGCAGGTTAAGCGCAATAAGGCCTGACCAGCCATCAGGCAAAGTTGCGCAGTTGCACTGCCACTACGACTATTACTCAGGAATCAAGTAATACATATCCCCTGCGACCGGCAAGTCTATGGGAGGGCACTGGAATGACAGGAGCTGGATTACAATGTGGCCGTTGGGGAATGCTTTGATTGTCAGAGAATGGCATGCTTCAAACCCTTGCAGACTAGGCGCCGATGCGGCATTAAGCTCGGTGGCAGCTTTGACGCTCTTTATGAACTGCTGAGCCATTTGTTGCAACGCCGCTTGCAAAATGAATGACATTGTGATGACCATCAGCGAGCAGGATACCTCCACTTGCACGGTGAACCAAGCTCCCAAAGTGCTGTCAAAATCGTCAAAGGTAGTGCGCACATACACGCCAGTGGCAACAACCAGATTGCCAGCCACTGTGAGCAGAGGGTGCTGTGCCATGATGGCAAACGGGAGCCGAAAAAGCACGAGTACAACCACTGACAAAATGGTCAGCTGTTCAGCGGGCACAAATAGTGGAGAAAACCCAACGGCTGTGACGATTGTTCCTAAAACGTACCACAAGCTGAGAGTGGACACTGACAGCATGCAGGAATGAAGCTGAATGATGACCAGCAAAGCAAAAATGCCGAGCACAAGCCACGTGAGTGGCGCCGTCATCCACCGCGGACTATCTAAGATCAGGTTTCGCTGAATGGACAACACCATCGCAAATGAAGTTGCAGCCAGCACTTGAACGTACCTGCGCGCCATTCGCAGGCGCATCTCTGAGATTTCCCGTGCGATTGCTGCTTCTTCAGCGGGGGTCACACTGCCATCCTTCTGGCAGATCTGACACAAGGCCATGACACTTCGATAGGCAGCCGCCTGCAGTTGATGGCGGTATGCCACCACATTCCACATCACCTTCGCAACAAAAAGGACCTCCAAAGTGATTGACACCGTGAGGAAGGCGTCCTCGTCTAAGTCTTGCGAATCGGAGTGCTCCATCTGGCTATACAAATTCAGAGCCTCTAGCTAACGCATGCGTAGCAGTCCTTGAGCGGTACAAACAACGAGTTTGCAGCAGCCAACTGTTCAAGGTTGCTTGAGGCTGTGAAGGAACCTCTTCTGTTGCACTTTTAGATAATTTTGAGCACTACACAAATGAGGCCTCATCTGGCTGCAGGCCGCGCTTCCGTGCAGCCAGGCAAAGGGCTACGGCCATCTCCCAGCCTGACTTGTTGGCATGCAGGGAATGCGCGAAACAAAGAATTCATCGTGGATAAGCCACCATGCAGAGCACATGAATCTCAGAATCCTTGAACTCAGGATTGCACCGGTCTGACGACCGAAGGCTCCAGCCACACGAGCGAAACCTCTGCACATGTGGCCGGTAAGAAGCGGCCAAGCCCTTACACGTAAGTCACTATTAGGATCCCCTTAGCCCACAGCTTGTGACATCTGGCGATGCGCGGCATTCCAGCATGTCCCTCAGCAGCCTGGACAGCGTGGACTCCCTGCAAAGGCAGTGCACGTGCATCAAGCTTAGACCAAGCATTTTCGGGCTCGGGCTTGATAGCCGGCTCTGGCATAGCCGCACGTTCGCAGGCGCTTAGCGCACTATTGAAGCCTGGGCACGTCGGGGCAATGCTTGGGCGCTGCTTGGGAACTTGAATGGCTTCCTTTGTCATGTTCGCCTCAGCCGCGGCTGAAGCGGTAAGAATCTTTGCAAAAACACCCGCGTGCCACTCCCCGCCTTTAGAGGTTTTGCCCGGCATACCGGCTCGGGTTTTCCCCTCCCACCCGTTCACGCCGGGCCAGGGCAGTCGATACTTGTCAAGAAGGTGGTTGTTCTCCGTCATGGAATTTGCGATGTATGACTTGCTGCCTGCACCCGATCACTGGCACGCTGTTGCATGCAATCTGATTCAATTCCTCACTCGGGCGCCAGCAAACGATCGCTGGAAAGGATCTCTGCTTATGTCCTGCTGCAAGACCACAGGAGTCTATGGCTGAAAAGCGCTTGCAAAATCTTACAAAGTCAAGTTGCAATTGGATGACCTCTTGACAACGACAAAGTCTAGCAGATGTTGATGCATCTGTGAGCCCGCGCGACTTGCTCCTTCCCTCATCGTGTTGAGGATCAGAATGGCCTAAGCAGCCGGACAACATCCAGCGGTCAAACAGATCAAATTCTATTGTGGCATATTGTGGAAGAGCATCTGCTGAGTTTTCATGCGTCAAGATATACAGGTGCAACATACAAGGTCTTGCTCAATCTTCCAACTTAATTTTGCACCTACAAGCTTGGTGGCCGAATCTACCATGGATCCATTACTGAGACGGCAACCTGCTGCCAAAGACCATAAGATGCACAGACCTTTGCCAAACGGTGAACAATGTTGCACACATTGAACATCATGAGCTGCTTCAGGGAAATTGCAGCATGCGGTTTGGGGAGGGCGCAAGAGGCAAGACGTAAAACGTGTTGTAGCTTGTGATCAAACAAACTTAAAGGCAGGAGATGAGGCAGGCCGTCTTGACCTCACCAATGTTGGGCTTCGGCGTGTCTAGAAAGCAGGCACATCGCTCAAGAGCCGCACACCAACTGCGGTGTTGGAAAGGATAGCCGGTGCCTGCCAATAAATGGTTGGGGAAAGCATTCTGTCGAGTGGCAAATTTATACGAATGGGTATTATTCAAATTATTTCATCCCAAAATGATCTCTTCGCGGAAAACCCATATTCCTTTCGCGAAAGTCCCATCGTGAACTTTCGAGGAAGCGTGTTGGAAGCTGAAACCATTAATCGAATCCAGAAGCTATATTGTCTCCCATGGCTTTCAAGGCTAGTGGCGTGCTTGGCTTGCGCAAACTTTCGCAGATCTTCGCCGGATCTTTAATTTTTTGGGTAAGAACTCTGAGACTGAACACATGTTGCATAAGCGTTCTGCTTATTGGGACATACCTTCAGCAGGATACTGACAGGGAAATGCAGTTCACCGTATAGCTTACGATACTTCTTTCACAAAGTCCCCGATTCCTTTCGCGAACACAATTGCGAAATTTCGCAGAAAGCCTTCTAAGCCAGCCCGCGGTCTTATATGTGAAAACTTCCACGCAAAGTTTTCGGACAACCCCCAAATAGCAGCATGTAGCTGCCTGCACCGCGTAAGCCTGGAGCTCATCAAGCACCTGAAGCACCCACCGCCAGGAAAGGTCGCCGCGCCTAAGAAGGTTCAAGATGGCTCCAGCGCTTCCATGTGCCATGAAATTAGTGTAGTTGCCAGTTAGAGCCAGGGTGAGACAACGATGTTGCTTGCAAGCCCGTACCATCTGATCTTTGCCAGCACCACAACGGCCCCAAATCTGCGCCCATAAGAGGCCCACAAGATTTGCACAAAAGCAATCTGCTTCTTGAAACGGCATGCTAGACACCACAATGATGCGGGACACTGCGAGAAAGGATTTGGCCGTTGTTGTGTCTGAGAAAAGCGTGAAATAGAATGTCCCTGGAGAAGGTCCCGGCAAGGCAGTGGCCAGGCGCAACAGTGCCGCCTGGCCAAGGCTCAGAAGTCGGATGTTACCCTTCGCGCACAAAGGAGTGGCCTCGTGAGGGTTCTCACCGGTCTCCAAGGCGCTCCGCAGCAGAGTCCGCCTCAGAGGAAAAGTCCAGAGCAAAAGTCCAGCGCTGAGCAAAGCATGTCATGGGGGGACAAGTTGCTTCAGTTGATGCCTTCAGCTGGACGCACAATAAGGGCCTGACGCCAGCGGTATGCCTTGGGCTGCCTTGACCACGACCTCAGCAACATAAGGCGCCGGTCCACAGGAATCACTCTGGAATTCTGCGGTGGCATGGAAGCTGGCAGACGAGATCCAAGTACTTCCAGCATTCCGCGGAGCGTACAGTCGGAAGTGTAGGACTAACAAAATCGACGACATGTCTTTGGCTAGCTTGCGGATCTGAATGCAGATCAGAAAAGGCGCGTCGTGTCTTGCAGAGTGGGTCTGCAATTCTTGCGTTATCGAGTCATTACTGTCCTTGCGATTCTGAACTACCCCTACTACAATCACATCACAGCGATATCCCCAATATTGCCACTATTGATCTGAACGTTTTTCAATTCAAAAGGATGAGAAACGGCAAGTTCGCGGAAAGAGGGGAGTGCGAAGGGGTAAACTCTCCGCTTTGAAGCTAAGAGCTGTGGCCCAGGCCGAGGCAGCCACAGCCAAGGCGCTGCCTGAGGCCTTGCCAAGACGGGCCTGGCGAATAGATGCTAGCAGAATCTAGCAGCTAGCAAGTTTCTCACTGCAGCCGCTGGCAGCGCTGGCAGCTGGCCGCCAGGCGTGCCTTCATGGACTCCGTGAGCGCCAAGGCTTCAGGCCACTGCCCGGCATCTGCTGCAGCACTTACCGCCACCTGTACAGCTGGAAGGACTGCCTGTGCTGCTCTGCCTTGGCCTTTGACGTAGTGCTACAAGAAATGTCCCGTCTCACCAGCCATGTCAGGTGATGACACGCCGGTTGATTGCACAAATAGGAGTGAGGAGATCAGCTGTTCTTCTTGACCAAGCCGTGGCTGGGCAGACTCCGCAGCTTCAAATGAATCAGTCTACCTCACGGGTTCGGCTGGCCACCTCAAAGGCGGTGACATCAGCTCTTTGCGAAGAGATGATGAGATCCACCGCGAGCTGCCACCTGAGTCGAAGAACAGAAATGCCTTGAAACCTTCACTTACGTGAGGACGCGGTCATATTGACGACAGGGTGCTGCTGCAGGCGTCCGAGCTCAGCCGCTGCACGGGTAAGCGCTAGAATTCCTCTCAGCACAATCACACCGTCTTCCAGATCATCGACCTTGAAGTTGAATGCTGTAAGACGGTCGCAGCCTAAGATCATCGACCAGAATACATACCCTGGCCTTTCGATGATATCAGAACAAGACATCAGAGAAAGACATCTCCTGGCTCCTGTCGGGCACGCAGCTCGGCCATGAGCCTGCGCTAACGGTAAACAAGCTCACACTGAATCCTGCATACGGACAACAATGGAGATGGAAATCGCACTGCCAAACTGCGCAACATCATGTCAGTAATGTCAGTATTGCAGGTTTGGCAGCCATTTTCCATGTTTGATTCCTCGGCCTCCCTGCATCATCAGGGGGAGCAGATGCCATGGCCACGAAGGCAGCATCTGCTGCGGGTCCCTCGGAACGCCGGAAGCAGGTTTGCCATGAGAAGAACACGAATAGCAAGAGCTCAAAAAGCATTGCCTAAGCTTTCACCGACTTTCAGCTGCCAGAATCTGCCAGGAACTGCAGGCACATGTTGTCACATGTTGCATGTCAGTGAACGGAGACCATCGGCCGCTGGGGCCAAGAGCAAATCAACAGCAGGGCTTCCAAAACCTGACTTCCCGTGCGACGAAGGCTCGTCCAACTCCAGCGTCGCATCGCGAGCATGCCTGAAATCGCATGCATAGATGCAATCTCTGTGCGCCCCCCCTCTCTGTTTGAGTACCTGGTATCATCCTCACAGCTTGCTTCTACCAGGCTGCTGGAGAACCTTCAGCGCCAGGTCCCAGCCAACCGAACTCTTGCTTGCGGCAACAAGCGCGGCGCCTCCGCACAGACCCAAGCAGCAAGCCAGACCCTAGCTGCCCTCGCTACAGGGCTATCAGGGCTACAGCTCAAGGAGAATGAATTTTATGCAAGTAGCCACACAAGGCTACGTTGGGTTCCGGAGCACGCTCTCGCTGGTCATCTGCTCGCCAGCGGCACGCCGCCAACGCAAACTCGACAGCCTCGTCAGGCCAGCAGACCAAACAAGTTTTCTTCGGCAGCATCCGCGTGCTACACTATTTGCAAGCCACAAGCTTCGTACTTAAGCTGTGGCCTCCCGGTACAGCGCCTTCTTGGACAAGAAGAGAATGCCAATAGCGACCTGCCAAAGTGTGGAACACTGAAATCTGGCAAAAACTTTTTGGGCAAGCAGTCCTCCTTTGAGCTTCGGAGGACCTTGCGCTTCAGCAACTTTGGCAGCAGCGCTAAGGCCTTCGGCAGCTCCGCATCCCGAGAAGCCATCGTTGCAGCAGACTAAGCCCATGATGCTGAGACATATTATTTCCAATGCCCCAAGACTTACACAACTTTGGCCAAGGCCCCGATCACCAGGACTTACTGCCTCCTCGTTGGATATATCTTCTTGGCGGAGCCGCTTCAGCAGCTTGGATGCCTGCGTTGCTGGTCTAGCCAACCCTATCCTCCTCGTCTCATGAAGTTAACCGAAGGGCTCAATAAAGCCTGTGCTGCGAATACATTTGAAGGGCTCTCTTCCTGGCAATTATCTGCATAGCTGGCCAGAGGCAACAACATTCAGCGACTGGCAAGAACTAGAGCTGCAGTGGTTGATCAGAACGACGGTGGCACCAAATGGTGCCATGCTCCACGAACAGCATCCCTGGCCTTCGGATTCACTTGATGCGCAGCCCGGGTGGCCGCTGCGCGGAAGGAAGCTGTGCACGGCAGCAGGTTTGGAGTTTGGGGCAGCTGTGTCGCAGTTGGAGGCATTCGCTACAAAAGGCAGGTGTGCAATGACCACAAAGCCAAAGATCTTGCAGCTCTCAAAGCTTCACTATGCTGCGCTCTCAGCCTGAAGGTGCTGCCAGTGGTGGGCGCAGCTCCATGATTGCCAGGAGGACATGACATCAGCATGGAGCTAAAGCTATGAGAAGACAGTACAGTACTGGAATAGAGTGCTGAGGCTCGTGAGTGAGACGAAGCGTAACCTCGCATGCATTTGTGCTTGTCCTTATGCACTTTGCCCTGGAGCTCTCTGGCTGCCAATCCGCATCTGCTATGCCATAATTTGTATTCCTTGAGGTAACCTCTCAAAGCACTTAGGGACTTAGGTTCCTTGCTGTTGTGCCAGGGCTTGTTACAGAGCCTGGTCCAAGGCCTCAATGGAAGCTGAGACATCTCTTGCGCCACGCGCCTGCGGCCGTGATTTCGACTTAGCCGCCTCTGCATCTGCCTGCACATGCTTACGCTGCTCAGAGATGGGTAAGGGGTCCTGGTACCACAGATGATGCGAGGATCACCAAGAAGAACCAAGAGGGGAGTGTGCTTGCCAGACGTTTTTTCTACACTACTAGTAGCAGGCCTGCAGGGCAGCCTCGCGAGCCAGTTCCAGGCCAGCCTGTCAATTTAGCCTTGCTTTCTTTACAAGAAACAATTTGTTCTGCGGAAACCAAACTGATATGACATTCAGCAGAGCTGTCTGCAGAATAGAAACTAGGTCTTGCTGACAACTGATGCTTGTACAGTAGACGAACTTCACACCTCCAACTCGGCGACTTGAGCCCTCAACTTCGGGACCTTCCAGCGACACAGGAGCTTGAACTCCAACAACGCAAAAGCAGGCAGTGCATAAGGAGTCCACAAGGACGGCTTGACTTGAGCCAGCATGATGCGCCTCAGCCACTTCCTCACTGAGCCGCTGGGCCTCAACGAGGCCCCAGTGAGACCCATCAAAAAGTGTTACGTCAAAGTCATCGACAGCTTGAAGGCCTCATTGCTACGTGCTGCCGCCGCGGCCTGGGCAACAGCAGCGCGCTCCGCCTGGTGTGGGAGTTGCAAATGCAACTGCAAGCGCAGCCTACGGAAAAATTGGCAAAAGGCCTCGGCTGCGCGAGCCTCCTGCGCTGTCACAAGCTCCTCCGCTGCGCATCGCACGGGGAGCATGACTGGCAAACCAAACCAGCCTGTGATAGCCTGTGTAATTCAGCGTCTGAAAAAGGTGTGATGGGACTTAGTACCCTTGTCAACGAACCCTGAGCGTGGTGTGTGAGCCTCGGACCCCCCACCAATCAACAAAGCCCTGGGGCCCACCGTCTGGAGATGCGCCAGCTCCACATGCAGCTGGGCAACCGAGCTTTGCTCAGCCTGATCATTTCGACTGAGGCTTTTAGGGCATGCATGATGACACGGGCGAACGTGCAAATAACCGCAAAGGCCACACATCTTAACAGCGGGCTTGCAGCCTGTCACAATGCTACCAGGTATGAATTGCATACAACATCATGTCCCCGCCTGCTGAGATGCTAACTCGCTCCTCAACTTTTCCTCGGAATTCTGACTTGTCAGACTTGTTGCGTGCAAGCTGCCATTGGGATCATTCCCGCACCGCGCGAATGACAGGCATGAAACTGGCAGTGTTACTGGAAGCTTTGTTTCTGAAGCTTCCGAGGCAGTAGCAACTTGTCTTTGCAAGCTCTCCTTCTCGGCCTGCGGAGGCATTGCTTCAAGCAAAAACATGCTTGCCCTGCTTTGCGGCTCAATTTGTGGATGGCCTTGGCACCTTCCAGTGCCGCTTCTGCCTGCACTGAAATTGCAAGTCGTATCAGCCCAGCGCATGCTGGCGCATCCACATTCGGTCGCCTGCTGCCACGCAGCAGCCTCTGCTGATCTGAGGCGCTCTGCCTGGTGTCTCCACGGCTGGAAATTTTCAAAGGGATGCAAATCCAAGAAAAGTCTGGCCTCCTTTTGTCTCTTAACTGCCTGTGATGACTTCATGCCCAGAGAAGTTCAGACGGCGCCAGGCAGGGACAGAGGGACAGAGGGACATGCATTCAGATTTTGTGCCGTGCCTGCGCGCTGCTCTGGTTTGTAGCTTCCAGGGCAGCCTTGCAATGTGGAAGATGGTGCCAACGGATTCGCAGCTACTATTCATCCTGCTGGTCTGGCCAGAAGTTCTAGGGCAAGCGCCTCACGCTCAGCAATTTGCCCCTTTAGTGTGGCCACCTGCTCCCATCCATTCTCATGGTAGCAGATCGCATTTTGCAGTCAATGAGCTGTTGAGATGAGACCCACTGCCGCTGATTCAAGCTGGATTATGCCTCGGCTTGGCTGCAAGCCAGCTCCTGTAGCAAGCTGCTTTCCACATCACGCTCGCAAAGCAAAAAAGAAGAGCTACAACGAAGATAGCACACAGACTTGCCTGCATGGCAGCCGCACGCTGAGCCTTGCGAGCATGGCTGG